CAAAAACAACATCGTCAACAACAACAGCAACAATCACAACATCATCAACAACAACCACAAAACAACAACATCATCATCATCATCATCAACAACAACCACAAAACAACACCATCATCAACAACAACAGCAACAGCCACAACAGCTGTAACCACAACAACCACAACAAAACTACATCATACATCCTCCTACCAACTGGCTAACTTCCCATTTCTGGACAGAGATTGCAGTTGATTCTCTGAAAAGACCAATTTGTTTTTTGCGTCATTCAGCTCCATCCTACAGCCATTCAGCTGCTCCAACAACTGTATTGTGTGTTTTTGGAAAAAAATAATTTGATTTTTTTCACAATATACCAATAACAATAACGAAAAACAACAACAACAACAATAATAATAATAATAATATTAATTCAAAAACGAATTATACAAAAAATTTTACAAAAAAAAACAAGCAAACAAGTTGGTTAAACCTTAGCGTTAGTCTCTTTCAGTCTCTTCAACTCATTAAGCAGAAGCGAAATTTGCTGTGAGAGCTGATTACTAATCCCCAGGCTAGAAATCCTTCGGAAAGTTAGCGACTGATCAACGTTTAATAAATTTCTGACGTCATTTCCGTCAGGGTTGACCGTTAGATTGCTTTCATAAGTCACGTGCTTATCTTTTGCTGGGTTTGAGTAGGTTTCTGTGTAGTTGTATAGAGACGGACTGGTCTTCATGTGGCTGGTGTAGTCGCTGTAGTAGCCACTGACCGCACTGTTGACGTTCAGGTCGGGAAGGGAGTTTGAGAATTTAAAAGTGGATTGAGGTATGTCGAGTGTTGTGAATACTGGCGTCTTGAATGTGTTCAAAGTTGGAGAGGTCATTAAACTCGGGAACATGTTCATCTCGCCAAATGATGATGACGCTGGCTGAAATTGATTGACAGGTGGTGGGGGTATGAATGGAAATGCTGACGGGTAGTTTGGGGTTTTAAATGATGACGTCATTTGTGGGTCGATGTGGAATTGGGATGGGGTAAAGAACGGATCTTGTTTTTGGGTGGTGAACGGGGGAGGGTAGTTGAACATTAGGGGATCTGCAGGGTTCGGATTTTTTTGCCATACTGAATACGACCCTGTGAAGGTTTGTTAATTATATTTTTTAATATATTGCGTCAAACATATTTTTGAATGAATGTATTTTAGTATAATTTTTAAATTTATAATTCAGAGCTGATCTCAAGACCCATCTGTTTTCAAAATTCATCGCGAAAATAGCTAATTGATTGATTGATTGATTGATTGATTTCAATTCAATTTCAATTTTTAAATATTTTAATTGCTCTACCTCTATTAGAATTATCACCCAGGTCCGTAAAAACATGAAGATTTGTTTGGCTGAAATTATTTTAAATGAATATAAATAATATTGCTAACACTCAGTAACAGTCGTTGTAGCAGTAAGAGTAATAAAAGTAGTAATAATAAACAACAACTACTACTACTACTACCACTGATTCTACTGTTGCCACTACTACTACTACCTACTACTACTACTAATAACAACAACAACAACAACAATAATAATAATAATAATAATACAACTACAACTACAACTACTACTCTTACTACTACTACTACTACCACTACTACTACTACTACTACTACTATAACAGCTACTACTACTATCACTACTAACTCTACTACTGCCGTTGTTGCAGCAGCAGCTGCTGCAAACTACAACTTACTTATTACTGAATCCCAAATCATTGAGAACGTGGTTGGTAGTATTTTTGCTAGCAGTGGATGGAGTATTTGGAAAACCGTCGAGTGGAACCGTCGATGTTTTAATGTTGATGATCCTCTCCTTGAAATCTCCATCTAGCAGCGGGTCATCCTTGTACATTCCGACCAATTTGTCTAATTTATTCTCAATTTCCTTGTGAAATTTCAACTCTTCCATTGCTGGCACACACGAGATGCAGTAGCTTTTGAATGCGGTCCGTCATGGGCTGAGTAACTTTTTATTATTGGATATAATAACGTAGGATGAGGTAACTCCAACTGATCATATGACAGAATAACACGTGGATTTTGCTACAGACGTCAAAATAAGAAATGAAAATAGTAATATAAATAAAACGTTAATAAACATTTACTTTCAAAAAAACCAGGCACGCACACACGTACACACACACACACACATATATATATATATATATATAATACATAAACATATGCATATACATACATACGCGCACACATATGAATTGTCTATACAATATACATACTAATATACATATAATTCAGTCAAGACATACAATAAGCGTATTTCAAATTTATATAACACACACACACACGCACGCACGCACGCACACATACACATTGTATACACTTTGTAAACAAAAATCCACGTGTATTGTATGTATATGTATGTATAAATAATTTAAAAGTACGTACAGGTAGGTAGGTGTTCAAATATTGATTGAGTCGTAAATTAACAGGTAAGATGAAGCGCTTAATAATTATTTTAAAATTTAATTATTGATTTATTTTCATAAATTTCTCTATTTGAAATATTGAAATGCAATAATTTAACAATATTAATAATAAAAAAATTTTCAAAATTCAAATTGATGTATTTAACTTGTAAAGTCGAAACACATTTACCTGTTAATGCAGTGTAATACTACATGTGTGTGTTATGTGTGTGTGTGTGTGTGTGTGTGTGTGTGTGTGTGTGTGTGTGTGTGTGTACAGTTCTGTACAAAATTTGTACAATTAGAATTCATCAATGAGAGTATAACACACAGCAGATGATTCGGCCAAGATTTATTAGATTTATTAAAGTAAATAACGCAAATAACTTATTGAATATAATTTGTTCTAGCTATTAGAAAAATTATTTTGAAAATTATTTAAATTTTTGATTGAATTGAACTCTGAATGTCACGGTTCAGTGGCCACCGTGCGAGTATGTAGTAGCGTGCAGGTTAGTTTTTTACGTTGACAAACTGATCATTATATAAATGAAATAAACGCTCGTTCATAAATAGAAACTCATAAATTTCTGTTTCTAGAAATGTTGATAGTTAGCCCATGAAAGAATCTTCGAACAGTGGTAGAACAAGCGCCCGATGTTTCTCCAGGGTCTCAAATATGAAAGGCATTCGTGGATTGTGTCAGAAGACAGTGCTTGTTGATATCGCACTGGTCGGAACTCTCTTCTACTTGGTCTACTTATTTCTTGCTGGTGACAAAGTCATCAAAAGTGCTTACAAGTCTGTTTCATATTCCTCTTCGTTAGATCTAGAAGAAGTGGAAGGCAACAGTTTCAACAGCGTCGACAAGTCGACACTCGAATACCAAATCCAACTGAAAACTCTTCAAGACTTCAGATCAACAGAATGCAAAGACCAAGCAAAATCTGGAGTAGATGAAAAAGTGACACTAGTCACATACTTCTACGATTACCAACTCTACGATCTGAAAGCTTCACTGACGACTGCTCTAGAAGACGGCAAATTGGTAAGGGAAATTTTAGTTTTCAACGATGGATCGACAGAGAAGCAGCTGATCAGCGAGGCGAAGGCTTACTTCAAGCAGCTGAAAATTCCAGTCCGACTTTTCCACAACGAGTTAAGGAAGGGGACTGCCAAAATATTAAAGGCGGGAATTACAGAGGCCAGATATGACGTCATCGTATTCATGGATACCACCGTCATTTGCAACAGAGGTATGTATAGAATCAAAATGTTATCTTAAATTCTACAAAAACAGAACTGTCACATTTCAATTTAACATTTCAAACCGTAAAATTATATGACTACAAAACTGTTAAACACTATAAACTTATCTTACTATAACCATAATCCTAACGTGCAAACACATACAAACAAACAAGCACCAAAACAAACAAACAGACAAACAACCAACCAAACAAAAAAAAAACCACACAGGGTGGTTGGCTCCGTTGTTGGAGCAGCTGGCCAGGACACCAAACTCCATAGTAGTGCCACACTTTGACAAAATAGCAAACCTCTTTCCACTTAAGTACCAACCCATCGAAGAAACATACGCCGCTGTTCTGCAGTGGAACCTACACACAGTCCTCAAGCGAGTGAAAGGAGGAAACAGCGTCAACACCAACAACATAACATCTCCCAGCCTACGACCAGACATCTTAGCTTTTAAAAAATCCTACCTGCAAACTGTTGGAGACGTGGATGAAAATTTCCAGTTGGGTGGTGGCGAATCTGCAGAGTTGGCGATCAGGGTGTGGTCGTGTGGAGGTTCCATTCAGATAGTTAGTTGTTCCAGGGTGGGTCTCGTCAACTTCGACAGACCTTTCAAGATCACCAGTGGATTCAACATTCGTCATCTTTCCGGCATGTGGTTACAGGACAAGTATCCAACTCTCTACAGAAACATGAGGCCATCAGATGTTCATTACAAGTTGATCTCGGACAGGAAAAATTCAGTTACGGACCCCAAAAAATGCACCGATGTTCAATGGTACTTTGAAAAGATTCAAAGGAAAAATATCGATATTGACAATAAGATGGTTAAAATGGGCTACTTGAAGGTGGAGAGTGGAAGTTGCACCGCCGTTGCCGACGACATGAAAATCGATGTGGTAAATTGCGATTCGGCGAACGAAATAGAAACCAATCCATCAAACATATTCCAACTGACCTCAGACAGGAAGTTGATATCAAACCGCAAATGTCTGACCGCCACCTCAACTGCCTACATCGTCCTGGAAGACTGCAGACTAAACGACAGACAACAATCCTGGGAATTCAGTCCCGACTTTAAACTCATCAACCAGGCAACAAAAGCATGTGCCACACACGTAACAGATCCCAATCCCATTATTCCGCAGAGGCAAATCGTCATGGTCCAGAGCTGTCCCAGTGAGAAAGAGGAACACGAAAGATTTAAGAAGTGGGCATTTCTGCCCGTCTGAGTATCTTGATATTTATCTGAATTACTTTTACACTTCTTGTACAGTACTTGTGAGCATTGCCACGTCTCCCAACTTATTTGGCGTATTCATCATTTGATATGATATTAGTTTGTATAGCTTGATTTAGAAAAACACGCAAGTATTTTACTTCAAGTTATTTTATTATTGTAAATGTTGTTTATTTATGTTGGATGAAAAAACAAACAGTCATTGTAGTCAGTCTCGGTCATTGTAAAGATTAAACGCAATGAAGACGACGACGACGATTATCGTAATTAAAATAATAATTAAAACATAACAAAACTAATAATAATAATAATAATCACACAACAACATATCGAGCAAGAATAAAAACCATTAGTAATAATAAAACACAAATAATAATAATAGCGTTTCAGATGGCTGGCCAGACACGTAGTGAAGGGATAATTACATAGCATAAGAGAGTACGACATCTTGTTTGGCCAATTCCAGTAACATAGGGTCATCAAAGAATTTGTTGATGCTCACATCCTCGCTCAAGCCCTGTCAAATGATGGAATTGTTTAGGGTTCAAATTTATAATAAATTTTTCAAACACATAAGCCGACCAATCAAACAACAATCGACAAATCAATCAACCGACCAACCAGCCAGACAATCAACTCACCTTTCTCCTCCTGGTTTTCACCATGAACTCCCTGGCCAGATAGGTGGCAGGTTGTGGTTCCAGTGGTCTGATTACGATGCTCTTGTCCAGTGGATCACCTGGCACAATCTGTCAGAATGTATTTAAAAATAGATTAATAAAACTTCACCTACTTCAACCAATCAAATGATCACACAACCAATCAACCAGCCAATCAAAAAATTACCCAGCCAACCAAACAACTGGCCAATCAAATGATCACACAACCAAACAACCAGCCACTCAGCCAACCTGCCAATGATGAAAGACGGACAGGCAAAACGCCTGTCCTTGGGTATGTGTCCTAAGGTCGGTTTCGAACCCGAACGAGTCGATGGCCGGCATGAACGCCTTAATGGTGTAGAGCGGTGAGCCCGGAACCGGAGCGTCCTGAGTCACGTGACCTCTGTGTGGGTTTTTACGAATTTATTTTTAGAGATAGAAAAACTAAAATACAAATGGCCATTTTAAACACGATGAAATGTGGTTAATAATTGCCACCAACATCATCATCATCATCATCATCACCACCACCACCACCGTCATCATCATCATCACAACATCATCATTACCTCCTCCTAGCAAGTACTGTATAAACAGCTGACACGCAATCAGCTGGTGCTTGGACTTCGACAAAAAAATATGGCTCCATCAGCCTTGGTGTAGCCTGTTGGAATAATAATAATAATAATATTATTATTAATTATAATAATAGTAATAATTATCATTTATATAGCTCCGTATTCTGAAGGAACGAATAAATAGATAAATGAATGAATGAAAAAAAACTGCAGCATACCATAAGAAAAGCCGAGTAGGCCACTCTCCTGGCGGTTGGGATGACCTGCCCCCCGGCTCGCTGGATGGGCTCCGTCGAGATCTGTGCATCCAAGATCTTGAACCTCACGTTCCTTATCGCTGATCATGTCAGTGGTTGAATGGTTGGTTTTAGTTTGAGCGATTGAAAAATCGATTAATTGAATGAATGAATGAATAATTGATTAATTGAATAAATGATAGACAGATTGAATAAAGAATAAATGATTGATTGAATAATTGATTGATATTGAAATATATATTCCTCCATATAACCCCTAATATAATTTCAGGTAGATCAAATTAAATTCCACCATTCCAATTCCCAAAAATGCAACTTACGTTCATCACAGAGGGGCCCTTCCCTCGTACCCCACTGGAAACCCTGAACGATGCTATCCTTCACAGAGGCCAACAACGTCTTGTCCACCTCGGAGGGCAGGGTATCATCGACGAGGATGTTGGGTCCAGTTGTGTCCGGTCCGAAGGCCCAGATGGACCTGGAGGCCAGCAAGTCCCAGTCATATTTGTTCTGGAAGAACTCTCCCAGCCTCTTCCTAGGCCAGCCTATTTGTACGACCTCGTTCTCAATGTCCTCTGCTAAGCCCTTCTCCAGAGGTTCTGCTATCATCGTGATCTTGTTCCTAGCAAAGTATGTTTGTGCGTGTATGTGAGTCAGTGTGTGTGTATATGTGTTTCTTGACTACCAGTCAAATAAATCAACAAAAACATCAACCAACCAACCAATCAGCAAACTAATTAATCAACCAATATATCAACCTACCAACCAACCACCAATCAACAAACCAATTGACCAATCAATCAATCAACCAACCAATCAACAATTATGACATACTTTTTATTGGGTGTTTCAGCGAAGCATTTGAGGGATGATGTTTCAACGACCGTCTCACAGAAGCTCACAACCGGGTCCGCTACTTTTATGTCTGCGTATCAATAGGAATAAGAAATATGTTGTATATGTAGGTACAAATAGATGTATGTATGTATGTAGTATGTATGTATTTAGTATATATGTATGTATGCAAACACACACAAACACACAGACACACACTAACCAATTTCCGAGTACATCTTCCTGAGGTCATGCATGATGCAATCCAGGTACAACTCACCTGTGCCGAGGATTACGTGCTCACCCGATTCCTCCACCTTTGAAAATGAAAAACAGTAATGGATGTAAAATGACAGGTGATTGTAATGATGGGAAAGCATCAACATTACAAACGACGGAACCAAAATTCTCACTCAAAAACTCAACGCAATCACCAAAATCATCAACTCACACCATCACATCAACTTACATCATCACATCATCACACCATCAACAACATCATCACACACCATCAAAAGCCTCATCACACCAACAACAGCCTCTAACCTTAGTAGTGACGAGAGGGTAGCTCTTATTAACCTTCCTCAGTCCATCCAACATTTTGGGAAGTTCGGATGGGTTGACCGGTTCCACAGCGATTTTAATGACAGATGAGGTGTTGAATTTGAAGGGCCTGAAAATGTGCGCCCCCTCGTTCCCACTGACGTCAGTGATGGTGGATGTTTTGACGATCGGCTGGTCGATACCCTCGATGAGTACCCAGTTCCCGGCCGGCACCCTGTTCACCTCTATGTTGTATCTGCGTATTTTTTAGAAAGATATCAATGCTATCTTAATACCTAACAGAAACACCAAAAAACAACAAACTCCAACAACCAATCACAAACAACCAATCACAAACAACCACTCCCAACCAGCCAATCACATACGACCAATTACAACAATATCAGCCCCAATCAAAAACAACCCCAAATACCTGGCTTCAGAAATCCAAAGTCTATTAACCAATCCCATCCTAGAGTCTTCCTCATCCTCAAGAGAGTAATTCTCCCCAAGGATCCTGACATTTTGGTCGGAGGACAGCGTACCAGACATAATACGACCCAGAGCATGAAAGGTCGTGGCATCATACGTGGGGTACAATTTCGTAGTGTGCACCATTAAGGGTCCCTAGAAAAGTAGAAAGATAATGGTATTATATACTATTATATCATTATACTAATCTAGCATCATCTAAATACTGAAAATTAATGATAAGACAAAGAAACCAAAGAAACAAACATCTGGATCACAGTTGAACATATGATTGGCAAGTTCTGTATCGAGGGGTCCGGTGTATATGTGTTCTATCTTCCTTCTGGCATTGTCGATAGGGGATTTTATATGCTGCACACACATACTCACAAAACCTACACCACAGAGAATGATTATTAGTTAGTAAATTGAAATTTTGTTAGGTAGAAAAAATTCAAACTTTAAATAATATCACAGAACTGGACAGAGTTAAATTTTCAAATTTATCAAGCCCGCCCATCCAAATAAAATAATATTATCATAAAAGAGTAAAAACAACAACAATAATAACCTGTAAAATTTCCAAAGAACCTGCCCAAAACAATTTTCAGCAGTGGTTTAATGTTCAGTTTGCTTTCTTCCTTCGTCAGTTTGATGCCCAACTCATCACAGAGCCTCGGCAGGCTCGTATCGACGTCCCCAACGACCTGCAAAAAATTTGAATTTATAATTGATTTAAACTTTTTATTATAATATTGTTACAATTCATATTATCATAATTAATATTATCATAATTAATATTATCATAATTAATATTATCATAATTAATTCTCTGTTTAATATTTCTCAAAGGTACAAGTAGTATAAGCAGCATAAGCAACAAAAAACAAAACAATAAACCGCAAATGAATGAAAAAAATGACGATATTGGAAACCTGGGCAAATATTTTATAGAGGGGCTCCAGTATAAACTCAACAAAACTTCTCATGCTACTGGATGGATTCGGTGGCTTCTTCGTGAATTTACGTCTGCCAATTTATTATTTATTAAATTATTTATACTTCACTATTCAATTTTTTATCTATTAATGACTAATTTGACATAAAAAATAATTCATAAATGTTTAATAGACCAAATAGATTATATAAAATACTTAGACAGATACATATGATATACAACTACATATAGCTATAATTAAATATAAATTAAATTAAATTTTTAAATTTTGTTGAAATTAAATATAAATAAATATAATTACACACACACACACACACACACACACATACACACACGTACACACACAAACAAACATAAGGACAACTGAACTAACGTTTTGCTATTGAAGTAAATATCTCCCCATAGCCTCTTTGCAAACTCCTGGTCATCTATACCACCAAACGCCTCGGCATAGATATTAGCAAAGGAGTTCAGTGTGAAACTAAATCTGTAGTACGAACTGGCGAAGCAGACATTTCCAAGGAGGGGTGATATGAAGAGGTCATCTTGGTCTTCTGAGTAGATGCTGTTCATTTATGTAGGTGTGATTGTATATGCATCATGGATGTATAAGTGTGTATGCATGTGTGTGTATTTATTTGTGTGTGTGTGTGCGTGTGCATGTTTGCTTCACTAATTAAAATTATACAAAAAACAATAAAAACTCTAAACCAGCAAAAAATTATCCAGCCAAACAATGAATGAATGAATGAATGAACTGATCAACAAACCAACTAACCTCAAAAGATTATTAATCTCATCAATGATGTGCCTCAATTTGAAGTAGGCGTCGCTGGGAGGCAGCTTCAACTCCAGGATCAGCCTGTCAATCTTGTTGATGCAAACTGTTATAGACAACCTCTCCTGGACCGCGTGCTTCAATAATCTTTCAGTGTTCAACATCACCTGCAAGGAATCAATCAATCAATCAATCAATCAAACAGACAATCATTCATTCGACCATCATCTGCACTAACTCCTTCAGCTGCGTCGACAAACAAGACGATGCCATCTGATATCCTGATGGACGCTGTCACCTCATCCGAGAAATTGACATGACCTAGAAACAAAAAAATTGCAATGGAAATAATTAGGTAGAAAGTTCATTTGTATGTAATGTTCATAGTGTGTGAAGCCAACCAACTGATCAACCAACCAAGCAATAATGAACCAATGAATAAATAAATCAATCAACCAATCAATCAATCAACCAACCAACCAATCTACCAACCAACTAATCATCCAATCAAGCAACCAACCTGGAGTATCAAACACATTGAGTAGAAATGATTTGTTCCGGATATCAGGTAGGACCAATGTTACTGGCATTGATTTGATACTCAGACCTCTCTCTTGCTCAGTGAATAATGTATCAGTGTATCTCATCTGTTGATAGTATCATGATCAATGTATTGATGACGTAATGATGACGTGATGGTGATGATGTGATGGTGTTGATGACGTGATGATGCAATGGTGGCGATTTGGGTATAAAATGAATTATGGTTGTGATGAAGACTGCGGCGAGTATGTTGAACGTTGCATAAAAGTTAGTTGATGATGATAAAAATAATGATGAATACTTTGACAATGAAAACAACAGCAGCTATAAAGCTAACGACATTAATAACTATACAACAATGACGTGAATAGCATCACTAACAATACCACAATAACAACACCAAAAGCATCAATAACAATACAACATCAACGACATCAATTACTTCCAGCACAACAACATCAACAACGATATCCATCAACAGCATCAATAACAATACAACAACATCAGCAAGAACATCAACACTAACATCTTTATCTTCCCTATTTACGAACGCTGGATGAGTCTGCTCCACCAAGCAGTCAACGAAAGAGGTCTGAAATATTTTATTTTAAATTATTAATATTAAAGTTTCATAATTTTCATGACCAACAATCACTACTATTACCAACATTCTAACCACCACCATCATCACTACTGCTATCATTATCCTCACTACTATTATCATCATTATTTTTATTGTAATTATTATCATCATCATTTTATTGTAATTATTATCATCATCATCATCAAACCTTGCCATGGTGCAGATGGCCGACCAATGCAATGTTCCTTATCAGATTGGCATTATCCATAATGTCCGCTAAGAACCTGTGGAGATGGATAAACATTAATTAAGTAATTAATTAATTGACTGAATGATTAATTGGTAATTTACACTATTTGCACAAGATTTTAAAATATACAATCTATTGATTTATCTATTAACCAACCAATCAGCCAACTAACTCTAAATCATAAGTTGTCTCAGGAACATCGACTTCTGCAATTGCAAACTTTCGTCTCTTGATGGGAGCAATGATTGGTTCAGTTAATGGCTGTGCATCCTCTTCTTGCACTATCGTCTGCACAAATAAATAAATACATTAACATATATGAATACACCTCCATTTGTAATTTATTTAAATAAATTATAAATTGTTATAAGAAATTGACACATAACAGAAAAATTAAAGCTAGTGTAAACAGATAATACAAAAATTAAAAAGCAAGCCAGTAAGGTGACTAACCTCGACATCAGGTCCATACACTTCTTCAGCAGTGGGGTAGTACTTCTTATCCTCATGCAGAACCACCTGCATCCCTGACTCCTCATCATCCTCCTCGCCTACAACGGCACCTTCATCCATCTTTTAAAAAATTATATTTAAATGATTTTTTGAGTAATTCTTAGTTTTAATTGATTGATTGATCAATTAAATTTTAATCAATATGCAATTTGATTAATTCATTAATAATTAATTGAAAAACATTTCAAAATGATGAAGAGTTAAATATTATTAAATCAAATTTAAATCAAACACTCTTCTTACAGAAATTTTAATTATAAAAAATAATTGAAAAAAATAAAATCCTAATCATAACTAACATCATCGTGAGCGTCTTCAGCGTCGTCATCGTCACGATCATCTAGTTCATCTGCCGAATCCGAATCTGATTCAATATCGGGGCCGATATAATTGCCGAACTCATCGTACAGATCGCCGTCCATTATTTTTTCAACGATTTTTTATATCGTTAATTAATTGTACTAAGTTTTGAAAACCAAATAGCGACAACAAAGCGGTTAACGATAAATGACGAACACGAATAAGCTATCTCTGCGATATTTTTCTACAAGCGGTAGAACCATGGATATTATATACTATCCATGCATAGAACTGAAAGAATTTTTAATTTAATTGTCTATGGTTTTAATTGTAAAAATTAATTAACGCTTGTAAAACTAATTAACGCTTGTAAAACTAATTAACGCTTATAAAACTAATTAACGCTTATAAAACTAATTTTTTGTTAAAATTATTACATAGATAATTTAAACAAAACAATTTATAATTTTGAAAAAATATTTTAGTTACGGTGTTTTACAAATTTTCCTTTCATCATTGTTTTTACATTTTGTTAACTTCTGCTTCGTCTGGTTAGTCTGCTCTTACCAGCTGGGTCACTAATTTTAAAAATTACAAAATGCCGCAGAGATGTGCGATTATCTATAGCAATAATGTTCCTTGTCGAGGTGGCTCTGTTTGTGTAAGTTTCTATAGGTTAGTTTGTTTTTAGAGTTGTGTTTGTAGGGATCAAGCACTCATTTATTAACTATCTTATATATTAATTATTATTAAAGATTATTGCAATTTTCAATGTTACCTAATATATGTTAATTTTTATGTTTTTGCTTCTCTCTCGATTTATTTCCTTTTCCCGAAAGCTGGTAAACGAAACGGTTCGAGATTCACTTTAGAATAAAGTTAATATTTTATTACGCCTGAATTGTGTTCGTTTTATTTATTTAACTTCGCAACAAGGTGTCTTGTTAAAGGCAGAAGTTCATACTAACATGTTCTATGTTGTCATTTGTATTTGTGGAATGTTCTGCTTGTTCTTGTTCTTCCGCTGTTCGTGTTAGTTCGTTCATCTTCATCTTGTTCATGTCATCATTTTGCCATGTCGTCATACCATAAAAATTAATTATCGATATTGAATTTCTTAGCTTGCCCAAAGACCACTTCACAAATGAATCATTTAAGACTTTATTAAGTTCATTTATTATTTATTTATTAAGTTTATTAAGTGTTCAACAAAATTTAACTCAAATGTTGCAAAAAGATAATCAAAGAGTTAGCAGTTCCTGAGATATTTCAAGACGAAGTAGTAGGTTTCACATTTTGAAATTTTTCTTTTTTTCTGTTATGAATAGCCAACTTAAGAGATGATTGAGAAATATGAAAAAGCTTTGAGACAATATGTGACTCACCCCTGATAAACTTTGCAGCACAAGCGGAAAATATAATTATTTGATCAGTCTACGGCGGCCAATGCACAATGAATTAACTGCTAGAAATAATTGTGACTCACCCCTGATAAACTTTGCAGCACAAGCGGAAAATATAATTATTTGATCAGTCTACGGCGGCCAATGCACAATGAATTAACTGCTAGAAATAATTTCAATTTGTATCATATCATGCAAAAAAGTTTGCTCGTTAACTTGACATGTCAGATGCGCGTACTATCGATTGCATATAACAAAATGAAATAATTTAAGTTTATGTGTCTTTTAAAAATTATGAAGTTTGAATTAAATTGATCGAATTTGTGTAGACATCAACCAATGTGAATAAAATTATTTCAGTATCAAGACTCCAGGAGTACAACCATTCAACATAAATTCTATGTTTCTGTACTACGGACAGATGAAAAATAAGAATATATACCTAGAATATATATACACCTATAGTATATATAGAACATGTAATATGTAAATAGTCGACATTTGCAAAGTTTAGCAAGTTTAATTGTTTATATTGGTTGATATAATTTGATCAATTATTCTACATACTATGTGGCTGGCAATAACTCCTAAAAATTTTACAAGGAGTGTTTTAATTAATTCAATTTTAAAATAAAATGTATCCGGGTTGACATTGACGTTTCTTTTCAAAACTGATTTGGTGTGTAAGCGATTGATTCTTTTTTTTAAGTATGTGAGTTTGTGTAATGTCTGTATATCATATACGAACAAGCCAAAAAAAAGTATTTTTGCCAAATGGATGGTAACGTTTATCGTCTATATTTGAAAGATAAATTGCGCTACACGTTTTTAACAGAAGTTCACTTTTTTGACTTCTATTTTAAAAGTGGAATCTGTTATCGTTTGTGGTTGCCCGACTTCTGTATTTCTTTCATTTCCGTTTTCAATATTTTAAAAAGTCGTTTTTGCTGGATTTTCAAAATTTTATTATTTTTAATAATGCCGAGTATTTGTTCGATATCTGGTTGTAAAAATACGTATGTAAGTAGTGGTGATCCTTACAACCTCATCAGTTTCCACAGGTTTTATTATGATTCATTATTTTATTTTATTTTATTTGTTATGGTCATGATCATAGCATAAAAGATTGATTCATTCATTTTCACTGATTAGTGTAAAAATTTTTTTAGATTGATTTGATTCTGTTAAGATTATTTTAAACTAAACTAAAAAGTATTATAAATAACTTACTTACTTAGTTAGATAAATGAAATGAAAATGAAATAAAAGTGAGATGAAAAGGGAATTAAAATGAAGTAAAAGTGAACATTGCTTTTAAAGTCAAATGGAGATAGTGATAGATACTTGGTAGATCAATAAGATAAATTATAAATAGAGATAACATTTTTTTTTGCTTTACAAAAGCTAGATAAAAAGTAGAGCTAAGTTATTAAATTGATTTGGTAAGATTTTAATGTAAAAAGAAAAAACAAATGATTAAATGTTTGTCATATTAGGTTTCTAAATGACAATTTAACATTAAATGATTAATTTATTTTTATCTCAATTGAAAATCCAATTTAAATAGATTTTAATATCTTAATATCAAATTTTATTTATATATCATCCATTCTAAGATTCTAACTTATGTAATTAATTACCATAAGGATACCCAAACATCCTGAGAAGAGATTTTTATGGGAGCAACAAGTTAAAGCACTCATTGATGATTATGAAAAAAAGAAAATGGTTGTCGTCTGCAGTGAGCACTTCACAGAAGATTCATTCTACTATATGCATGGTAGAAAAATGTTAAAAAGTTCAGCCATTCCTGAAATTTTCAAAACTAAGGTTCTCCACTGCTAATCATTTTTCTAATATTTTACGTTATAATTAATAGTAATTATGTCTTTTACTTTAATTTTTGTAATTTTTATAGAATTTCGATGTTACTTTTACAGATTATTTTGTTTTTCAAGTTAAACTATAAAAATGAAATTTTCTCATTTATAAAATAAATTTTGACATGACCTGCACAAATTATGCAAATTGATAAGATAAAACTTTTTGTTTTTGAATGTTACAACAATAACAAATATGAACAATATCTGATGTTTTGTTTTGTTCCTTGCACTTCTTTCCTTTTATTAATTTTTGTTTTCAAAGATGAACTAGAACTATAGAACATTATAAGTTTATGAACTTTTTTAAAGTTATGGTGGCTTGTAGAAAGCGCAAGTGATTACATTTTGGCTTCCATGTCATTTCATTTCATGCAATTATTTCTTTTAAATTTTGTTTGATATGGTTTGGCAAAATAAAAATAAAATTATCTTAAACTTCTCTTTCCACTTAAAAGTAACAGTAAAAAAACACATCTGTATTTGCTTTCCAGGAAAATTTAGAAAATGTCAGATTCGAATGTGGGAAAGATAATGGGGTCCACGTAAATATTGGCCAACAGACCAACACACCTGGGGAGACAAATTTCATGGATGGCATGACTTTCAGCAACGAGGTAAAATTTTTAATAACACTTCGTTTTTATGAATTTTTTAATATAAAATGAATAAAAAGATGAAACAATTTAAAGATTTACGAACGCCCGACAAAGGAACTTATAGAGAGATATGAGAAACATTTACACTACAAACTATACACTAAAAATAAATTCTACTACTTAAAAAAGAAATTCTTGAGATTACAGTGTAGTTTCAAATCTGTGCACCAAGAATTGCTAGCCTGGAATTCACTCAACATTTACCTTTCAAAGAAATTAACTCATCTTCTGGGTATGTTAGAAGCACTCATTTGATCTTTATTATTAATAATTATTCTAATTAACACATATTTGTTGTTAAAGATTGAAATATTTTAAGATATTTTAATAGATAAATGATCATTCATTTCTAATTATGAATACTTTTTCAACATTTGCAGTTTCAAAACTCAGAAAAATTTGTGAATCACAACGATTACACAATCAAGCTGTTTATAAAGACAGATTACTGCCTCTTGCAACCTTGGCATAGCTGATGCTATGAGCTGATCAGCAATAATTAACACTGTATGAGACTTGTGGCTGAGCAAATGGGATTAAATTTTGTATCTACATACCAGACTTCTTTAAATTCACAACGGATTGTGCATTAAAAACTAACAATGGCCGTTTTTTTTTTATAAATGTAAAAAGTCAAAATTTTTAATTTTTTAAAACAATGGTGGCATCATCAAGCAACAACCTACGTTTCAGTGAACGTTTTGATTGAGCTGTATTCTGTTGCGATTCAGACCCTGTTAATGAATGGATGTTCCTGAGGTGGTACTGCAATGTGAAGGTGCTGTTGTGGTACTTGAATGGCTTGCTGCAGTAGTTGCACACGACTGTCGATTTGTCCAAAAACACGAATTGACCGTTCAAGATACTTTTCCTGCATTCGGACATCATGAAATAATTCGCTAAAAAATGTTAGAAAGAACATTAAATTTAAATTTAAAAAACCGATCAAAAAGTAATCACGTCAAACAAACTCTTGACGTCTGTTTCTGGTAAAAACCAATGTTTATGTTACCAAGTTAAAAGTGAGGACGACTAAAATTTAACCATAGACTATGGAGGTTGGTAAAATGGAGAACGCATAGCAAAATCAAATCTTGTTTTGTGCAACTTGTCTTCAATATACATTAAATTATTGTTAAAATTTTTAATACAAAAATTTGATTCAAAATTATTTTCTATTGACTATTTCATGCGGATAGATATCTGCATGAACCATGGCATGAATAGAGATAGAGACAGTAGTAGAGCCCCAAGCAGAAAAGATTTTTCTAAACCGCAACCACCCGCATCTGAAAATTTAACGTCCGCAACCGCCCACTCATTATCCGCATTCGTGCCACATCCGCGAAAACTGAAAAGACAGCCTAAATCGGCAGTCTTAGTCTCCGGTTTGAAACTAGAAGGTAGCAACGCTAGAAGGCAATTTATTTACAATATAAGGCAAACCGGAGACCACAAAGTGGTTTTTCCAGCAATATTTGTATATTGGTTTGTCATATAATTTTAATCATTGGGAAGACATCCTTCAATCATGAATATATAATATATTATATATTATATATATATATTATATATCCATGCCTTCAATTTAAAAATTTTTAATTTTATAATTGAAATAATATCGACTAAAGTCTAAAGCAACAACCACAAAATGTACTAATAGTATAATAATTATAATTTTTCTATAATATAAATAATTTATAATACAACCAATTAGTTAGAGGAGCTAGGAAGGTTAGGACCTGTCTTTTTTACATTTGATTTAGTAAAGGAGTTTTCAGTTTAGTTTATTAAAATGAAAATCTTTCTTCATTTCTTCTTTATTTTACATCCATGACTACTATATTGGCATGGAATAAGCATAAGCCTCATATTTGATGTTTGCAGCAGGTGTACATACTAATTTACATATGTATTGAGAATTATATTATTTTGTTTTTTATATGTTTAATATGTAGATGTACAATACAGTATATACACTAAAATGACTAAATAAAACATATATTACTACAACATGTTTTAGAGAGACATCAAGAATAACAATAAACATTAGAGTTAGTTAGACTAACTAAACTAAACACAAAATTATGAAATTTATCACAGCAGTATAAAAAATCCATTAGGCAATGACTCACTGTTGCTGTATAGATAATTGCATAAATCGACAGGGAAGGATTACTAAAGTTTCATATCACAGGTTAGTTTTTATTACATCTTATTAAGTTTCTAATACTAATTCAATGAAGTTGATAATTTATAAAACAATTAATCTATAAATTCAATTAGAAATCAGTTAATTAATATGAACTTTAGAATAATTTTCTTCTCCATACTAAATTGTTGGTATATTAAAAACTGATTTAATAGACATTTTATTGATTTTCTTTTATCTGAAATAGATTTCCACATGATAAAAAAAAGTATCAAAAATGGATAAAAGCAATTAGATTAGAGTTAAACAATCCATGCTGGCTTCCACAGAGTAGGGATGTAAGGATTTGTGGTGAACATTTCTGTGACAGAGAGTTCGTGTTGGCAAACATTGATAAAAAACAATTAAAGGAGCATGCCTACCCTTGTTTTAAAGTTGGTAAGACATTTTTTCTTGATATGTTCATTCATTCATTCATTTATTCATTCATTTATTGTTATTCATGCTCGTGAATAGCATGTTTTGAGGGATTTGCTTTTTGTTAGAGTCTGATTCTTTAAAGAGTGAAAGTGATTTGCAATAATTTCTCATTTCAAAATTTTCTACCATTTATGAAGATCCATAGGCTTGATGGTTGTGATAAACCTTTACTTCCAGCTCAAGTTGGTTTCATGAATGAATGAACGAATGAACAGATAAATGAATGAATTTACGAATCAGTGAATAAATGAATGAATGAATAATGGCTGAGAAATAAGTGAATATACATGAAGTAAAATTTTTGGTATCTTAAAAGATAAATAAATAAATTTTTACTACATGTGAGACTCTTTTTGATAACTTTAGTTCCTATAGCTAGCACTATTTTACAAATGACTATTAACTTTTCAAATTAAATTTGAATTTTTTAACAGGTTCTAATCAGACCATCGAGTATTCTTTCCTCATTATTAAATAGACCGGACCAGGTCAATTTTTCCAAATGTTTACATTGGTTAACTATCAAATTGCTTTGAAAAGTTTTTCATTAAATAGATAAATCATTTGCCTATGATCCTTACTTTCATGGTCATTTGAAATTTCTAAAATAAATACAACATAAAATTACATAAAAACAGAATTGCATATTTTTTTAGAGTACATATCATTCTCCCATGCCAAAAATCATCTCTAGAAATGTACAAGTTAGAATAGAACCAGAAATACCGCTAGTTGCCCATGTAGGTCAAATTTTTTGTTCGTGTGTATGTGTGTGTACGTGAATGTGTGTATATACGTGCGCGTGCGTTTGTGTGTGTGAATGTGTGTCTAAGAGAAATAGCATGTAATCAATAGTTTTATAAAATGGTTTACGTAAAAAATTTTTCACAACTTTGTAAATTTATAGATAGAAGAAAAAGGGAATAATGTTTTTATATGTGTTTTATTATTATTTACATTTTAATTATTTTATTTTAATTTAAAGTTTGAAATATTTCAAAATCTTAAGGTCATTGAACCAGTGCCAGAATGCCTTTATTTAGGTCTTGGGAAGAGAGTAAAGTACATAAATGAAGTAGGCTTTACTATTTTTTTAATTCGTTTCTCTAGACTTTTTCGTAATTCTTTTTAAAAATTATTTTTTTTTTGCAAATTTAATCATTATTCTTATTATTTTTGTAATTATTTATAATTGTAATACCGAAGGATCATAATTATGCCACGTCACCTGAATCGTTGTATGTGTTGTTCAAGAAATTTTCAAAGTCTCTTAACCGCAATCGCTTCAAAAATAAAGACCTTGTGAGGAGGATCGACAGAATGACTATAGAGTAATGAATATTTTTAATCTGTTACTGAGATAAAGAGGAATTATAGTTTTTGTGTTTTGAATCAAAGCTGTCTAGATCCGCCCCTGATTGTGACCATATAACATTTCAAATAATTTATAGTTAAATATTAACTATATAAAAAGGTACAAGAGAATTCGAGCAGAGCTCTATGCCACAAATATGCTAAACCTCTACCTAGCTAAAAAATTTTGTACCTCTATGGGTATGTGATGGAATTTTTAATTCATTTTTGGTTATTCTTTCTTATTAGTGGTTTATAAATAAAAGATTCAATAAAGTATTTATTTATTTATTTGTTTGTTTACTAAAAAATATTATTTAAAAGAAAAATCTTTTTTTCAGTTTCCGCCATTAGTTCCCGCTTCTCCAGATGATTATGTTATTTAATTGAAATTTTATTTTTTTAAATTTTGTATATATTTGCTATAAATGCCTTCAAAACATAACTTCAAGACAGACTATTTCAAAATCAATTTATTTTTTTGATATATTTTCAGTACTTGCTGCTTAAGTTACCTTATATATGACCTAAATTCTTTTCTGCCAGATATCTTTTTGTCCTATTCGTATATCTCAACTAGTTGATTAGTATGGTCATATATGTATCTTAATTTACATATACCATCTTATCTGATCATTTGATACTATCTTATCTGTTATCTTAAAATGCATTTTTCATTTGATATTCTCAATTTTTCTTACGTTGTTTTATCTGCATCTGCTTTATTCTTACAATGTCTCATCTGCGTGATGCATGTGTGTATTTATGTCTTATAGTAAGATGTTTGCTTTGTGTACATTAGTGTTATACAATAGGTACGTATTCTGCCATAATGTCGTGCAAGTTTTGCTGAATGTTAATATGATGATATGATGATTTAAAAGGTGTGAGAATAACTAATAAATGTTTGTAAAAATTATCAATTCGGTTGTTAACGTGTTTGATATATAAGTTAATTATGTGTGTAAGTGTGGGTTATCAGTTAATTATCAATAATTGTATAAATGCATGAAACGTACGTGTGTCTTTGTGTGTTAGACACAAAATGATTTTGGAGATCGAATGCTTTGGTTATTAATTTGCACATATGGTATATTATAATTCTGAGTATGTATGTAATGAATATGTGTGTGTGTGTTATAAGTAGTGAAATTCTAAGTGAATGTGAAATACGTAAAGACAATTCTAGTTTATATACTCCATGGCTACAATCAATTTTATTTAAGTTACATTCACTTTTAACAGTTAAAATTTAACTCTACTTTTACTCTCTATTATTATTATTATTAGGTTTTTAAATTTTAAATAAGATTGAATCGTCATGATTTTGTTTCTATTTCTAATTTTTCCATATTTTTGTCATCCGGTGTTTTGCTCGGAAGATTTTTACGAAGTTCTCGGCGTTAACAAAAAATCGTCTGCCGATGAAATCAAGAAGGCTTTTAAATTTCTGGCCAAAGAACAGTCAGTTCTGTTCTGTTCTTGAATTCTTGATTTCTACATTTTTTTTATTTTAAATTTAATTAAATTTATATTAAATTAATTGAGTTTTTTTATGTCATTTTATTCATAAAATATTTAAAAAAAATTATAGAATTTTTTTAATATGCTTTTAAATAAAATTATGAATTTTTTTTTTCTTTTCATATTTTATACATATACAGTGATAAGATTAGATTAGAGACAACATTAAGTAATATTAAATTAAACAAAAAAAAAGATTAAATTATTTATCTTTTGTAATCTTTAATAATGACTAAAGTTTAATTTAACCATTATTAAAAAAATAATTTATTTATAGTCTTAACTTAATCATTAAAAAATAAAGTTTAATCAGAATCATTAATGTTTTTATATTTCTGTAACTTCTCTAGCCACAGCATAAAGTACAGAAAGACTCTTTACTCACATAATCTTGCTATGCTAAATTTGGCCTACCAAGTTATCTTTATTAGTTTATTTGATATATAATTTTATAATGTATGCATGTACGTGTATATTATATATTTTTATTATATTTATGTGTATATAAATTAAATTACTTGAAATTTGAATGATACAAAACCAAAGACACTAAGTGACGAGAAGAAGAGGTCGTTGTATGACGTCTTCAAAGTGAGCAGTGTCGACTTGGATTTGTTTCTGAGTGGAAATGTCTCGTTGGAAGGGGACAGTTTTCAACTGCAGACCTCAAATAAGAGGGGTCCAGTCGAGTTCAAAATTATAGGTGTTACTACTGAGTAAGTTTTTTTGTGTTATTGCTGCTGCTGCTGCTGTTGTTTAGCTGCTTGCACACACGCAAATTTACACATACACATACTAACACACACACATATATTAACACCCACACACACACACACACACACACACACATACACACACAGGGTATACGACAAAGAGATAAAATCCAGCAGTCACAAACAGCCATATTTGATTTTTGTATCTAGTAGACAGTGTGAGGACTGCGATTTGATGGTGCAACTGTGGCATGAATGGTGCAGGAAATTATTCAAAGATGGTATTTAGGGTCTTTTTCTTATTTTAAATTTTCATCATTCCTTGTATTTTTCGTTATTTCGTGTGTGCGCGTGCGTTTGTGTGTGCGTGAGTGCGTATGTGCGTGTGTTGTTGCTGATACTTCTGAGGATTTAGTAGTAAAACAATAAAAAACAAAATAATAATAATAGCTCCTATTGTTGATTCACTCTTTTCATCTGACGCGAATAGTTTGCCCAATCTCGATAATTATCTCCAGGAGTGAAATGTGGTGTGATGATAAAGGATGATGAAGTCACATTGATGAGGAGGCTGAGAGCGCCGTCATCATCGTCGACGTCATCATCATCATCCTCGTCATCACCGCCATCTCTCGTCGGTATCATAAGAGGCAAGTCAAAATGGCTGACTTCATTTCCGGAATCTTACGAAGAGTTGATCAGTTTCGCGGTGCAGTTGTTTCCAGAGGATCTTGTCATGGAGGTTGTTGCTCTTTCTGATGGTGGTGACGACGATAATGACGTTGTTGTCACTGCACCGCCTGATGATGGCGTCATTATTTCAACAGAATAAACTTTGTTTTTTTAACTCATTACATCTAGAGTTTATTTTTGGACTAGATAACTAACCTCGTAACAATTTAACCTTTGACCCAGGTAAATGACCTGACCCATTTGACCTACTTCCAGCGCTGCATCGACGATAAGAACAACGTCATAATGTTGTTGTTCGTTAACGGTTTGAATCCACCGCTATCTTTCTACACGTCATTGTTTAACACCAGGTCACATGTCAGTGGCGCGTTCGTTCAGATTAAAAAGTTAGCGCTAGATAAATTAAACTTTTTTTTTGGTTCACGATCATCACCAACGTTACCATCAACACCACCATCATCAACAGCAACATAATTGTCATCATCATCACTACCATCATCGTCGTCAACATTATCTTCATCATTCCAGCCCGGCTTCCAAACAGTTGGTGACGAATTATAAGGTTGTCACGAACCAGAGTACCATATTTATATTCAAAGAAGATATTGTAAATCCTGTGTTCAATCTTTCGGTACGTGTGTGTGTGTGTGTGTGTGTGTGTGTGTGTGTGTGTGTGTGTGTACGTGTGTGTGTGTACGTGCGTGTGTGTGTATGTGTGAGGGTGTGATTGTTTTTCAAATCTACAATAGAAATATTAATTATAAATATGATGATAATAATTACGACGACAACAACAGTCAAACAACCAACTAATCAATCAATCAACCAACTAACCAATCAATCAATCAATCAATCAATCAATCCACCAATCAACAACAAAGCTGCCCACTTTTGGCAAGCATCACTACGAGGGCCTACTGCAACACCACGACCATCTGTCCACACCACGCATATCCTGTCCGTCTTTGTTCGATTTGCTCTGCCCTATTAACACTCCGAAAAATAAAAAGAGGTTTGTTTTTGGTGGTTGATTGATTTATTGATTGATTCATTCATTCATTCATTCATTCATTCATTCGTTCATTCATTCATTCATTCATTCATTCATTCATTCATTCATTCATACAACAACCACAAACGAACGGAACGAACGAAAACAAAAAATACAACAACCACAAACGAACAAACAAACGAAAAAACAAACAGCTTGTGCGTAATCCTCCTAACGAACAAACGCCTCGAACTGCACGACCACCTATCGACATTCAAGCAGTACTCGGACAACTACCTCCACAGAGATAGAGTCCGGTTCGCCTACCTACTCGAAGAAACCCAGAGAACTTTCGTGCAATTGCTGACTTGGGGGCGGAGCTATTATAATGAGACAGCCAATTCTTTGAAAGTATGTTATGGAGGATTTTTTGTTGTTTTTACATTGGGGGCGGAATTATTATAATGAGACAGCCAATTCTTTGAAAGTTTGTTATGGAGGATCTTTTGTTGTTTTTACCTTGGGGGCGGAGTTATTATAATGAGAGCGTCAATTTTTTTTCGAGAGTATTTTATCAATTATGGTATTTACTGTTTTTTTTTTATGTTATGTTATGTCGTCATCATCTTCGCCATCATCGTCGTTATCATCATTGTTTTTCTTATTGTTATCATTGTTATTAGTATCACTGTTATTATTATCATCGTCGTCGTCTCCATCGTTAAAAGGTGGTCATAATGTGGAGGAAAGATGCGAAGACTCTGAACTACGATCTGTTAGAGGACGGTTGGTTCGGTAGGGTTTCGAACCAGCTACGTGCGAGACGGAAGTTGAATCAGCATCTGGAATGGCTGCTCACTAATCCAACGACGCTCGCTAACGTTGTAGAGTTGAGAGGCGAGATTGTCAATGAACATTTGAAGGTTGGTTGATGGTAGGGATGAAGAAGATGATGGTGAAGATGGTCGTGGTGGTGAAGAAAATGTTGGCATGTGCAATTATGATGATGGTGAGTGCCTGGATGGTGATAGTAGTTCTGATGTTGATGTATGATTATTAGTTACGATAAATAACACAATAAATATAATAGTCATCGTCATCATCGACGTCATCACCATCACAGAACATATGGTACAGAGTTGGGATGAGATTGCAACAATGGAATGATGGAATTGTTGATTTCTTTCTGGGGTTATTATTATTCTTATTATTCTTCTTCCTTTTCTTCTTCTTCTACTCTTTCTTCTTCCTATTATTATTATATTATTATTATTTATATTTAAATTTTAATTATTTTTTATTTAATTATATTTAAATTTTAATTATTTTTTATATAATTTTAATTTTAATTATATTTTAGCTTCATTGTCCACTTTGTCGTCCACATAGAATCGACGATGCAACGTACATGATGATGCTGAAGACTCTCGTCATCATCTTCCTATTCGGCCTTGGCATTGGCTACCTCGTCCACAGAGAGTACCAGATGGTGCAAAGTCAATCGTCGTCGTCGTCATCATCATCGTCGTCGTCGTTGGCTCGGCCCGATAGACAGAAGAATGGAATGAAAGAGGACAGGTTTTTGCTTATTTCATCATCATCATCATCATCATTATTACTATTATCATTATTGTTGTTGCTATTTTTATTATTATTACTGTTATTGTTGTTTTTATTATTATTGTTATTGTTATTACCCGATTACAGGCCGACCATATACATATACTTGCTTGGTTCCGAAAACTACCATCAGCTTCTGGTTGAGAGCGCGTCGAACATGCGACTAATCTTACTGCTCGTTGATAAGAACTCCAAGGATAGACTGGTTCAATATTTTGGCTCCTACTTGCAACCTTATGCCAGGTATTTTTCGAGTGTTGTTGGCTATTTTTGTAGTATTGTTGTTTTATTCATTAATATTTATTTATTCTATAGAATTTTTTAAGAATAGCACCTCTCATTGTCATATCATCAAAATGACGTCATCACCATCATCATCATCAAAATGACGTCATCACCATCATCATCATATCATCAAAATGACGTCATCAATCACCACCATCATCATCAAAATGACGTCATCACCATCATCATCATCATCATCATCACCATCATCATCATCGTCACCAGGTCGTCTGCGTTCAGGTTCGCCATCTTGGATCTGAACAATTATTTCGGCTGGTACAAGCAGCTGCTGGACATAACGATGCGTGTGTCCGAGCACTACAACATGCTCAAGAGGAATATGAACAATATCAACGTTAAAAATTGTCTTGGTCAGTTGGTGTTTATATTGAGAAATTAATTAAGTAATTAATTGAGTAATTAATTAATTTTTTTATTTATTGACTGATTAATTAACTGGATTGATTAATTAACTGATTAATCAGTTAGTCAGTTCCCTATGCTATTTAGGACATTTGTTATATTATGTTATCATGTTGTTATATTGTTATGATGGCGTAATGTTATGTTGATCTTTTGTTTTCAAGTACCAACCAATCAATCAACAGAATCCAATCGATCAATCAATCAATCAATCAATCAATCAATCAATCAATCAACCAACTAACTAATCAATCAACAAATCATTCTAAAAAACAACCGACCAACCAACCAAATAAACCAACCAACCAACACACCAAATCAGCCAACTAACCAACACACCAAATCAACCAACCAACACACCAAATCAACCAACCAGCACACCAAATTAGCCAACAAACCAACCAACACATCAAATCAACCAACAAACCGACCAACCAACAAACCGACCAACAACCCAGGTACAATCCTAGCCATAAACGGTTGCAAGCGTTACTATTCCATGTATCACATCAGCTCGTTTAGACCGCTTCAAAATATACAACAACACAACGGCAATAAAAAGAAAACTGACAAAGACAACGATGATTATGATTATGATGATTACGACGATGCTGATGATGATGATGTCGAATCTATGATCGGAATTTCTAGAAACACCAGCGTCAAAAGGCGCAAATGTAATAGCAATGGATTGAATAATAACGATGATGGTAATAGTAGTAGTAGTAACAAAAGTGGCGGTTGTGGTAGCGGCGTTGGCAGCAATAACAGTAGTAGTAGTGGCGGCAGTAGTAATAGTAGTAGTGGTGGTAATAGTAGTAGTAGTGGTGGTCTGAGTGATGCAGACAAATTTTTTGAATACGATTTGATGAGAGGATTAGGAACGTGGCTGGAAAAATTGTGTAATGGTAAACTGAAGAAGTTCAAGGTCTCCCATTGGCCCTACGATATGAGCCCTGATTTCGAGGCCGACTGATTGATTGGCTAGTTGATTGATTGGTTAGTTGATTAAAGGGTTGATTGATTTACCCTGTGACATGACTTCTGACCCTGAAGTCGAATGATTGATTCGGTGGTTGGTTGATTGATCGGTTGGTTAGATAGTAAATTGATTGATTGAATAATCATTTGTTGAACCTTCAGTTGATTGGCTGGTTGAATGATAGTTTGATTGGTCAGTGTTTTTAATCTTCTTAAATTTTCCTGACAATCTTTGAATTTATAATCAACTAACAAGACAGGAAAACAAATAAATATATATAAATTATTTTCAAGAAATTTTCATATAATTATGGATCTTTTTTTAATTGACGGGCTGGCGATTCTCACCTCATCTTAACAAATTTATATAAGTGTTGGTTTTCATGGTTTCCCTTCTTTTCGTATAAAATGTACGTTTAATCGTAAATATTATCCATAATTTTAAATAATTATAATATAATAATAATAATGATCGTGATGACGTTAATGTTTATGACTAATTTTTTTTTTCAATTTTGTGTTATCATCGCTATTGTTGTTGGCGTATTCTCACACGGCGTCTAGTCATTATTCATTTATTATCGAATTGTATGTGTGTGTGTGTATGTATGTATGAGTGTGTGTGTGTAAGTATGTATGTATGTGTGTGTATGTATGTTTGTGTGTATGTATGTGTGTGTGTGCTTCCAAATGTTGCAAATTTGTCTACTAAATGTCACAAGTCTACTACATACTATTTCAAATTTTTTTTATGATTAATTAACGATCGATAATAATGATGGTAATGGTGATGTTTTATTTACTAAATATTATTTATTCATTGTTTATTTATTTAATTAATTGATTTTTTGTCATTTTTTGTAAAAAAATTATTTAGAAATAATCACTTCATTACGTGTTCGCACTGACATCTCTTTGTTTAATGTCGTGATTAATATATTCACAAGCAACGAGCTCGTCAAATTTTTTTTTGTATGCATCTTTTAGTCTTTTAATATTTCATTTTTTTCAATTTAAATCTTTTAAAAATAAACGGATAATCTGATATTAATTCATTCATGCATCCGTTATTAATTGGTTGATTTTGTCACTCGTTCGTACGTGTATACGTTCGTTTATACTATCAAACAATCAATCAATCAATCATTCATTCTCAATCATTCATTCACTAACTCACTCACTCATACAATCAGTCGATCAGATGAAAAATAGATGACAAAACAAAAAAGACAAAACAATACATCAGACTTTGCAATGTGCTAAAAAAAATAATTAAAAATATTCAATAAATATTTTAAAATAATTTTTATAACAAATACAAAAATATTAATTAATATAAAGATTATACTGTAATTTAAAAATTATTTAAGTAAGTAAGTAATCAACTCGTTCATAATAATAATAATCTTGTGCGTTTTGACAATTCAAGCGGTTTTCATTGAAAGTTCATGAAAAAAATATACACATTAAAAAACTAACTAAACAATATTATACAATTATATACAATACGTCCACTGGTATGTATGTATGTGTATGTATGTGTATGTATGTATGTATGTATGTATGTATGTATGTGTATGTATGTATGCGTTTGTATGTTTGTTAGAGCTTTAAAATAAATTCAGTGAAACGTCGTTTTGTCATCCGTCAATAATGGATGAATGAATTAACAAATGAATGAATGAACTAATCAACAAACGAACGAATAGATGAATGAAAGAAAGAACAAATAGATGAATGAACGAACGAACGAAAAAATAAACCCTTGGTATTGGATGAAAGAAAGAGATGCGCCAATGCATATGCCTGTGGAATAATAATTCTGTAATCTCTGAAAAAAAACCTCAAAATAAACACAACACAATAATCACACTCATTTTAATCTTAAATATCATCGTCATCATCGCTACCATCATTATTATCATCAACGATATCATGATCAAATCTCTCTCTCTCTTTCTCTCTCTCTCTCTCCTATCTTTCTCTTTCAATTTAATAGAACATTTATAACTTTAAAGTTAGTTGAAAAAAAACACAGAAATAAATAAAATTAAAATTTCGTTCATTCA